GGCCCGGTCCCGGCACCTCCCGGTCGTGGCCAGTGGGTGCCGCAGCCTCCCTCCCCCACCTCCCTCCGCCCGCGCCCGTGGCCGCACATAAAGCTTCAGGCCGGTTACACCGCACGGGACGCGGCCTGCGCCACGGCCTTCCCCAAACGTCAGCTCTGTGCGGCACGGGTGGCGCCAGAAATTCAAAGGGCCTTCGGGAAAAGCCGCCACACCACTCCATCTCCGTACCCTTGTCTCACTGGAGTCCGTGGCCCTGCCCATCATGGAAGCTTCTCGAAGGACATAGGGGCGCCGTTCCCCGGGCAAACACCTATGAACCCGAGTTCCCCGCCTCCACACCAGCTGCTACACCCCACCCCATGGCGCCGCATGACCTTCACCGGCGGGCACCGCGGGCAGCGCCGTACCTGTTATAGTCCGCAGAGCCACCAGACATGTTCCGAAGAGCCGCTCAGCGCCCGACTGAAAAGACAGCGGGACCGCGCCACCCGTTTTTTATACGCTCGCGACCGGAACCCGTTTTCTGCGGAGGAATTTTTCCGTGGCTCTTCGGTGAGCCACAAAATTGTGACCCTGGGAGCCTTACCTCCGAAAATATCCGAGGCAGGTCTGTTGGAAAACCCAGGTTGGGTGTTTCAAGATACTGCAGGGTTCCTGGAAATCGCCGGACGCCGAGAGAAGGTCGGGACTCTTTGCTCGGAGGCGGAAGAATATTGCAGCAAGCGGTGCTCGACTCGCGTTCCCCTCCCACCCTGCACCTACGGGGTTTCCGCGTCCCTGAAGCGGAGGCTCCGGGCCGGACGGGAGGCGGAAGCCGGAGGCGCGCCGGGTGCAGGTGGCCCGACCTCCCCGGGGGTCCGTGCTCCGCCCTTGTCCTTGTCCGCGGCGCCCGGGGCCAGAGAGGCAGGCACCCCCACCCCGCGCCGCCCGGTTAACTAGCGGTGGGAACAGGGCATTTAATTTGACCCTGAAGGGCTGCCTGGCCTTTAGCCCGAGCACTTGATACCCATTCAGATAGGAAACGTGTAAAAGTCCTGCTGGGAAAGGCGGCCCCCGGCGCGTCCCGGAAAGCCCGGGTCCCCGCACTGAGCAGGGCGAGCGGGAGCGTGTGGCGGCGGCATCTGCAAAGGTCTCGGGAGCAGCCAACTCTTCCTCTCCTGTTTCCGGTCTTCTCTAGCTCTCTTTGAAATAATGCTCTTAATTTTCGCAGTTAGGAATGCATGATAAAATCATTTTAAACTTTCTTAAATGGATAAAAGCTAAGGAGGAGTCATTTTCCTGACAATGAAGAAATTTAAGGGGGTGCTTCTGACGTACACAACTCCATGCTGTTTGGGGACGATGGGTTTTGATTCTGGTCGATCTAGGTCTGTTTTTTAAAGACGGAGTTTTAATTGCTTATTCGTAAGGAATGTTGATTTACTGAAAGTGAGATCAATACAACACTTGCTGTTCAAATAAACTGCATGATTCTTTAAGCTCTAGAGGTTTTCAACTGTAGTCTCTTAACCCAGGCCCGTCGGTAAAAACAATGTAGCTACTCATGTACCTTTTAAATACAATCCTTCTCATGCTGCAAGATATCAGGAATATTCAGGAAAACATTTTCTCATTAATTCAGAAGACCAACCTAAAGTCTGAGACTGGAAATACTGTTTCTTAATTTTCTATATTTGTTTATCATATTTGATACACATGTATTTTTAATTTATTTGTTTATTTATTTATTTGTTTCAAAATTATTATCGTGCCAGGAAGTGACAAAAACGAATACCACGATAAAAAATAGTGGACCTCACTTTAGTAATATGGTTCCTATCCATCTACCTGTAATGTTCAAAGCTGGACATTTTCTGAGAATGAACATGAGAGATCCTATTGTCTCATCTAAAACTTACTAAAAATATCTCCTGAGAACTAAGAAATGAATAAAAATACTAAATCAGCCCTAACTGTTTTGGTTCAGTGGATAGAGCATCGGCCTGCGGACTCAAGGGTCCCAGGTTCAATTCCTGTCAAGGGCATGTACCTTGGTTGCAGGCACAACCCCAGTAGGAGGTGTATAGGAAACAGCTGATTGATGTTTCTCTCTCATCAATGCTTCTAACTCTCTATCCCTCTCCCTTCCTCTCTGTGAAAAATCATTAAAATATATTTTTAAAGAATAATAATAATAACAAAAGAAAATACTGAATCAGAAAAGTGACCAACCAACCATTTAGTCTCACTTGAGTCTTTAAGCCCTAAAGACACAACCTGTGGGTCACAACCCCTTTGGGGGTCAAACGACCCTTTGACAGGGGTCACCTAAGACCATCAGAAAACACATACATAATCACATATTGTTTTTGTGATTAATCACTATGCTTTAATTATGTTCAATTTGTAACAATGAAATCGGGGGTCACCACAACATGAGGAACTGTATTAAAGGGTCTCGGCATTAGGAAGGTTGAGAGCCACTGCTTTAGGGTATAATCACTCATAGGGTGAAATCAATCAACGATTAACACCTCATTGTTGAGTGTTTTCTTTAGGTTTAGCCCTACTGTTAAATGCTGTGCAGGATTTCCAGTGTCTTAAGAGGAAATAATCAAGGGCTAAACTCTGGTTTAGGTCACAATTGTTGAAGTGATTTTAAGGTAAGAAAGCTCTATAATTCAAAATTCAGTGAAAATTCGGAACCCCATTGCCTGAAACCCTACAGTGTATTTCTAATGAATGCTGTGTTCACCACATTTGCTTATGCTTACTCAGTAGCATTAATAAATAATAAATGAGTTAAAGATCTAAACACACAAGTTTTGCATATCAATGTAGAAGCACACTCCTTTATGGTTGAAAAAATTTTTCTACTTACTCGAGATCTAAAATTAGATAGCCTTCTCAAAGTCAATCATAAATGCTTCTTTGCTAACCTGGAGCAAGTGAGGCCATTTATACTGCAAATGATGCTAAAAATCAAATTCTTTCCCCATATGAGCCACCTAGTTTAATTTTGCTCTTCAGTAGCCTTAGCTGACAATTCTAAACCCATCTAGCAATTGTAAGCCAATATTCACCAGATGAGAGGAATCAAGGAATTAGGTAATACAAATTTGTCAGTATGACATGTAAAGACAGTAACAAAACCTTGAAAGTATGCTTTATGTTGGTAGTGACATCATCCTATAGGACAGTGATGGCGAACCTATGACACGTGTGTCAGAGGTGACAAGCGAACTCATTTTTTTGGTTGATTTTTCTTTGTTAAATAGCATTTAAATATATAAAATATCAAAAATATAAATCTTTGTTTTACTATGGTTGCAAATATCAAAAAAATTCTATATGTAACATGGCACCAGAGTTAAGTTAGGGTTTTTCAAAATGCTGACAGAATTTATCTGTTCCCTGTCTTTCCCAGCTTCTAGAGACTGCCCACATCCTTGACTCCTCTCTGTTTCCATTATGGACACATCTGTTATTCTGACTCTCCTCCTTTTCTCTTATAAGGACTTTATGGTCATACTGGGCCCACTTGGATTATTCAGAATAATCTCTCCACCTCCAGATCTTGAACTTAATCAAATCTGCCAAATCCTCTTTGCATGTAAGATAACATAATCTCAGGTTTGGGGCATTAGAATGTGGACATTTTGGGGGGACATTATTCTGCCTACCACAATACCCAATCCATTTTTTTGAATAGTAAATAATAAGATAATAAGAAAGACTGAGAGGAGACAGTAAAGAAATTATTAGACTAGAACTGATCCAGAAAAGTATCTAAGAAAATGTTTTGATCCAAAAATGGCAAAAAGATTTTTTTTTTTGCTTTTCTAATGTCAAACGAACTGATAAGAAGTTTGCTGGAGGCTAAGAACAGTAGTTAGCATAATAAATGTGAGAAGTTCATCAGAAGGCTGATGGACATTTTCAGCAGAGCTGAAAATCTGCATATTACCTGCTGCTGAACAGCTGTAGGCATTTCCCCTAACCTGATAATCTTTTCCTGTTTACCAAACTTTAACTTTGATATGCCTGTTTGCATCCCTAAAGGACCAATGTATTTTCCAGTAAATAAAAAGCCTTGGTTCCAGAGACTCAGGAAACCACTCCACTAGAGAGTTGGTTTCCACCTGGTTCCCCATACCTTCCAAATTTATATTTCTTGTTTAGTCTCTATCCATTTATGTATCAGCCCCTTCTCCAGATTCCTGAACCCTTGCTGTAAAAAGACTGCAGCAGAGATTTTCCCATTTGTCCATTGCACACATAATAAGCACTCAAATACATTTAAAAAAATCTTATCTACCGTATTTGCCGGCGTATAAGACGACTGGGCGTATAAGACGACCCCCTAACATTTCCACTCAAAATACAGAGTTTGTTATATACTCGCCGTATAAGACTACCCCCTCTTCCGCACACCTTCCACACACCAAATAAAAGGTAAAACAATATCAGATTTGATTTTAACATTTTAA